AGTTGGCCTTGTCTGATATTCTGTGACTCTTCAACTTTTTGGCCCCACTTGCTCCAAGCTTCTTGGATGCATCAAAGGGACGGTGGTGTTACCATCTGAAGAATAGAACCAGACCTCCCAGAATTTAAGAACAAAGCCAACACCCACCTCCCCTAGTCCCTACCCCTCACCCCCGACAGAGGTCCGGATTGAAATCCTTGACCTTCAGTCACCTGTGACATTTGGGGTCACACAGGCCAATCTCTACATTTATCAGATAAAGAAATGGAGGCCTGACCAGAGGCTCCTAGTCACCTTTCACTCTAAGCCCAGAAACCACAGTCCTGGTCTCCTTTAAGGCTGGAGGTTATAGCTAGCATTTGAAACTTCTCTGGAATGTGTTTCCGTTGATTCCCTCATTCTTCTTCCTAGGGTGTGGAGCTAGGTGAGTGAGATTGGGCCTGAGAAAGGGAATGTTTACTCGGTAGGTGTCTGGGCTGTGAACATAAACCTAGGCCCTAAGTGTCCCAGCACCTCCTCCTAACAGTAAACAGAACACTTACTGTACTCTGTAGAAAGCCACCAGTCATTAAGGAAGTGGGTGCCTCGCCAGGGTTAGTGTCAGTGCCCAGCACAGCGGAGCTTCAAGGGAACAAAGGCCTCTGAGCTAGGCTAATTGCCAACCTTTAAAACAACAAAATGATCTAGAGCGATCGTCCTCACCTGAGGTCAGGGCTGCTGGCACATTCCTGCCATCCCAGCTGGAGCTGAGGCAGGAGGATTGTAAATCGGAGGCTAGCAAGCAAATTCAGGGCTATTATGAACAAAAGAAAATACTGAAAACAAAACCTGTTATCCCCTAATGGCTAATGCAATGGGAGCTGAAAGAAAACATGAAAAATCACTGAACAGGCCTTAGGTATCCTGTTGATGATAGTACTGGTCTCATAAGTATTCAGCTTATGTTTGTGGGCATGATAGTATCTAATTCTGTTTTTAATTTCCGAGAACTTTACTCCAATGTAATACCAGGTACTAACTGGCTTTTCATCCCCCAGCCATCTCCCTGTTTATGAGAAATCCCCAATACCAGAATCCAGAGCTAGGGAGAACATACAGGGAACTCAGAGAGAAATATGGAATGCCTTCGGCCTTCTCTCCTGGAGCTCGGAATGACTAAATGAGTCCATTACCACATGGGAGACTGAGGTGTAGAGAAGTCAGCTTCAGGAGGATGAGACCCCGCCACACTGAGGACAGAGAGGCAGAGGGAGACCCTGTAAAAAGATACTAGAAGATATTGGGGTATATTGCGTGCCACCATCTTGACTATAAGAGACACCGCAAGGCCCACGGGGGAAGAGGAAGGGTTAGGAACAAGAGCTCTGAAGGGAGCTCAGCAAAGACACTAGCAGCTCAGCTCCTGGCCAGCCTGTGCCCTGTTCAGTTCACAGGAGTCTCGGCTGCCCCTGAAGCACTGTCCCGTTCTCTGTGCGGCCCCCGGGAAGCTAGGCTTCCATGTAGGTCATTCCATAACAAGGCTGAGTCGTTTATTTGCGGGAGGGTGTGGTACAGGCCCTTGGAGAGAGAAGACAGCTCGACCTCAGACAGAAATATGTCCTCTGAAATTTGAGTTGCCTTCTGCTAATTCCCCTGGAGACTGGTGTCAGGTAACCGAGGACAAGATCATAAGACCATCACACAGTCCCTTCTTCCTATCCACCACACAGCAGCGTCTAAGTGCACTCCCTCCTGGGGCCTAGATGCTACCTTCACATAGGAACATTGATGGAAAGGAATATTCCCGTTGTGTAGTCTCAAAATCTCCTCCACCCTGGGCGAGCTCAGTGCGAATAGACAGTGACACATTCCCAGAGGGGACAGAACAGGCATGGGCACAGAAGCCGGCAACATCAGGGCCCAGCAGCTCTGCCCACAGGGCCAGCACTTGGCCTTGGTTGACTCATCCTCCCCACGGCTGGGCCAAGATGCAGAAACAGGCTCAGAGCTAAACCCCAGGTACCATGCCTGTAGTAGCAGATCCACCTGAATCAGAAGCCTGTGCTCTCTCTGTCCACTTCCCCACACTAAGGGTAGCAGGAAGGTCTGTAATACAGGGAGAGAGATGTTCCCTATTTCTGCAATAAGGAACCTTTAAAGTATTGCCCACAGCCGGGCAGTGGTGGCACACGCCTTTAATCCCAGCACTCGGGAGGCAGGAGGCAGGCCGATCTCTGTGAGTTCGAGGCCAGCCTGGTCTACAGAGCAAGTTCCAGGACAGCCTCCAAAACAATACAGAGAAACCTTGTCTCGAAAAACCAAAAAAAAAAAAAAAAAAAAAAGATGCCCACAGGCATTGTTAAAAATGAGAATGGACTGTGTCAAAAAGTTGTTGAAGAAATCCCTTGGAGGACAATCCACAGAATGGTGCAATCCTGAGGTAGGAGACCTCAAAGGAAAGGAATTCATTACATAATCCCAGGGCAGTCCAAAACACACACACACACACACACATGCACACACACACACACACACACACATACACACACACATACACACACACACATACACACACACATACACACATACACACACACACATACACACACACACATACACACATGCACACACATACACACACACATACACACACACATACACACACACATACACACATACACACACACACATACACACATGCACACACATACACACATACACACACGCACACACACGCACACACACATACACACGCACACACACACATACACACACATATACACACACATACACACACGCACACACACGCACACACACACATACACACACACATACACACACACATACACACGCACATACATACACACACACACATACATACACATACACACACACTCACACACATACATACACATACACATACACACACACACATACATACACATACACATACACACACACTCACACACACACACACGCTTTGTTACTACTTTGCCACTAGACCTTGGCCCTCAGTTAATTGTGTGTGTGTGTGTGTGTGTGTGTGTGTGTGTGTGTGTGTGTGTGGTACTAGAGCTTGAATCCCAGGCATTATGCCATAAAGCTCCATCCCCAGCCCCCAATACCACACAAAATAAAAATTTAAAAATAGCAATAAGCTGAAGGTTTTCTGTTCCGATTTGCCTTTTCACTCTGCACACTGCTGTACAACGGGTATGCGGGCTGCGGCATGCAGCAGGATCTGGTGGCCGCTCTGCACAGCTAGAAATGCCTGTCCCTTGTCTAGGGTGCCCCTTCATGCCTGACATCACCGCCATCCCTCCTTCCATCCAGGAGGACAAGAACAGGGGACAGACCTTGGCCAAGGAGTTTGTAGCAAGCATCTTCACAGTAGCAGTGTGACTTGTCCTTGGCCTGAGGGATACCAAAGGAGACTCTGGTTTCTGCCTTAAACATCAGAAGAGAGGGTGGGTGGAGGGGTGCTCTAGTTTCTGGTCTGGTTTCTTGTTATGTTTCTTCTTTTACGCAGCTGCCTGGAAGCTGTTCATGAAGACGCAGCCAAAACTCCAGCCCAGACGCTACCATCCCTTTAATCAACAGCTTTGGGACGGATCTTGGAGCTTCCAGGGTGCAAATGGGTTGTATCTATTATAATCTTAATAGGGATACAATTAGTCTTTGGACCTGCGTAGTTAACTGCTGTCTTAATTTTGTCTACTGTCATTTATGGTTGATCAGCACTCACATGGCCACCTATAGTCTAATGCCTTATGTTCCAAGGCCTGAAAGTCAAAGAGTGGAGACTCTAAACCCCAGCTTCAATCCACCTTCTCAATGATTTTAGGGTCTCAGCTCTTGATGGGGGCGGTTGGTTTTAGATTCTTAGATTTATAGATTATGATTAGTAATAGTGTTGTAGACTGTTGTGGACCGATCCATAGCTGATTTTGGACCCCACCCCCATCCCCCTGGTAAACTTCTTCAGGCTTTAAAATGCCACACAAAAAGGGAAAGCTGCTTCCTCCTGGTCAAAAGAGTGGAATTTGAATTCAGCCTCTGGTTCTGGGCAAAGACATTGCATTTTAATCTGTCCCAAAGCTTACAGTGTTTGTTGGGAGCGATCATTGTTATTTAGAACCTCTTGTAAATATTGTCAGTCTTTTTTTTTAAGATTTATTTATTTATTGGCACACGCCTTTAATCCCAGCACTTGGGAGGCAGAGGCAGGTGGATCTCTGTGAGTTCGAGGCCAGCCTGGTCTACAGAGTGAGTTCCAGGACAGCCTCCAAAATGATACAGAGAAACCCTGTCTCCAAAAACCAAAAAAAAAAAAAAAAGATTTATTTATTATGAATACAACATCCTGCCTCCATGTATGCCTGCACGCCAGAAGAGGGCACCAGATCTCTCTATGGATGGTGGTAAGCCACCATGTGGTTGCTGGGAATTGAACTCAGGACCTCTGGAAGAGCAGTCGGTGCTCTTAACCTCTGAGCCATCTCTCCAGCCCTGTCAGTCTTTTTTTTTTTTTCACTGTTCAAGGTTTATTTGGTGTTTTCATTGCCATGACACTTGGGTAGTTGGTTGCATCATCCATATGCAGATCTTACTTCTTATACAATATTTCAATGTACACTACAGACACATAATACACAAAATAATAATATCCTTTAGAAGAGTTATGACAAGATATGCATAATGGACTTACACACTGGAGCCAGGTTGGGACTAACCGGGGGCTCATTGCCCTAGGCATGTTTGGTGAGGTTGCACAGCGCAGACACAGGCTCACGGCTAATTGAAGCCTGCACACAATTGGCAGTGTGCCTTGGAGACAGTGGACTGTCACACCAACCAAGTCACCACTACACAAGTACCACTTAGCATCAGGGTAGAACTGTGGGAAGTGAGGTTTCCTCCAGGCTACCTTAACACAACCACACTAAGCACAGCTCAGATGAGTAGACAGATGTGTGTGGTCTCCATAGAAACCCTGCGGCAGCCTGGATAGTGAAGCCCTAGGGTATCTGAGGACTTCAGAACTGCAGCTCTTTCTGGATCCCCCAGAGCGTATCTGCACTCTTCTTCAAGCGAGCCTCCTCTTCAGAAGTGACAGTCACCTTCACAACATCTGAGATTCCATTTTGTCCCAGGACACAAGGAACACTGAGGAAGACTTCATCGTTGATTCCATAGAGACCCTTAATCATGGTAGAGATGGGATGCACCCGCCTAAGATTCTTCATTATGCTCTCGGCCAAGTCGGCCACAGACAGGCCAATGGCCCAGGATGTGTAACCCTTCAGTTTGATCACCTCATAGGCACTGTCAACCACCTGCTTGTGGACCTCCTTCCACTGCTCCTTGTCGGCATCGGAGCCCAGCTCTGGATTCAGATTCTTCAGGGAGACACCAGCAACATTCACACCGCTCCACACGGGCACACTGGAGTCTCCATGCTCCCCTAGGACCCATCCGTGACAGCTTATCGGGTGAACACCCAAACTTTCTCCCATCACATAACAGAACCGAGCAGAATCCAGATTGCAGCCACTTCCAATAACTCGGTTTTTGGGAAAGCCACTTATTTTCCAAGCCACGTAGGTCAAGATATCCACTGGGTTTGAAACAATAAGCAGCTTGCAGTTTGGACTGTACTTCACAACGTTGGGAATGATGAACTTGAAGATGTTCACGTTTCGCTGGACCAGATTGAGTCGGCTCTCTCCCTCTTGCTGACGGGCCCCCACTGTGACAATGACCAGCTTGGAGTTTGCAGTCACACTATAGTCTTTGCCAGAGGCAATTTTTGGTGTTCTGAGGAAAAGGCTGCCATGCTGGAGATCCGTCATCTCTCCCTTCAGCTTGTCTTCCATGACATCAACAAGGGCAAGCTCATCTGCTAAGTCCTTCATTAAGATACTGATGGCACAAGCCATGCCAACAGCACCCACCCCAACAACCGTGATCTTGTTCTGAGGGACCTGTTCTTCCTTAAGCAGATTCACAATCAGCTGGTCCTTGAGGGCTGTCATCTTGGAGGACTTTGAACTTTTGGGGACCGCTAGTGCACAATGAATGGCGTCCGGGGAAACAGCCGCGTGGTCCGAGATCGGCGACGAGGACACAGGCTCCAAGCACCCCTGTCAGTCTTTTTTAAGAATAGTCCGTCCCCTCCCCAGCTTCCTAATGAACAGAACTTGGACTCACAAGAATAGTGGATAGCAAGAAGGAAACATTCCACAATTAGATCACTTAACTCCTCCCTCTGCGACCCTTTAACCTTGCCAACACCTGCTACCTGCTCACCTTCAGTGGCCTGGTTACTAGGCAACAACCCCTCCCTCCCTGTCCTGCATTCCTCTGCCCCATCCCCCTACCTCATTTCCCCTATATAAGCCTGTATGAAACTCTCGTTAAACAAAGCTCAATCAGCCATGTTGTCCTGCTGCCCATCTCTCTGTTTCTTGTCTCATTCCTTCCAGGTTCCCATGGGCTTAGTCCCTGTTGTGCCCCGCTGGTCTGGGCAAGTGTTATATACCATTGTCCCCTTCCCTGGGGCAAGTGTTATATACCATTGTCCCCTTCCCTGGGGCAAGGGTTATATACCATTGTCCCCTTCCCTAGTTAATGAAAGTCCGCCTGTCAATCACCTGGCCAAGAGATCAGCCTGGAAAAAATGTGAAGTCAAGCTGAGGAGATGGGAGAGTCAATTGTCCCCTCCATGATACAGTGTACATAGCACTCCCAGCTTCCTTCCTGTGAAGCAGCTATTTAAGGAGCTCCCACCATGTGATACTAGTACCCTGCCTACTTTTCCGACTTGTGACTCAAAAGGAATAACTTTCCCTTTTTCTTCTGTCTGCCCAAGCAGGCTTTTCCTGACACACTGTGTCCACACTTACCTAAGTCTCAGGGACAAATGTCCCAGGCATTTGTTTCTAAGGACAGAGAGTAGCAGCAGAAAAAGAAAAAGGCTCATAATTCCCCCACCCCATTCAGACTTGGGTTGTTTAAGTGAAAAACCTCAATACACCCTCCCCCGCTTTTTTGAGACTCAGAAGGTCGCCTCAGTGGAAAATTCTCCAAGGTCCCTTCCCCTAGACAGGGAACAAGGTCAAATTAAAAAGAACATCTGGTCCAGAGTGCTAACGAAGGAAACCGGCAGACTGTAGAGATAAGTTTAACTCTGACCTTGTAGTTTCTCCAGGAAGGAGTTATACCCATGTTCTTACAATACCCCTATTACTTGCCCAGATCTGCACCTGCAGTAGCTCCACTTCTTACAATACCCCTATTTCTTTGCTTGCCAAAAGTATGTATATAAAAATAAAACTGTCCTAAAGCCCAGCGCTCTCAGTTAGCTAAGGCTGCTGAGTCGCCCACAGACGCCTGTATAAACAATAAACCTCTTGTGATTTGCATCCAGCTGTCTGGTTATTGAGCTCGGGATGTCACCGGGGTATTCAGCCTAAAGCCTGACAACCTCGGGTCTTTCATTAGATTTAAGCAATGGGAGGCTGGAGAGATAGCTCAGGTGTTAAGAGCACTGGCTGCTCTTCCAGAGGTCCTGAGTTCAATTCCCAGCAACCACATGGCAGCTCACAACCATCTGTAATGAGATCTGGTGCCCTCTTCTGGGATGCAGGGATATGCACAGGCAGAACACTGTATACATAATAAATAAAAATAAATAAATAAAATTTAAGCAATGGGTTGAGCAGTGATGGCACACACCTCTAGCATTGGGGCAGGAGAGATGGCTCAACAGTAAAGGGAATTCACTGCTTTAATAGAGATTCCAGATTCAGTCACCAGCATCCAAGTCAGGTGGTTCATAGCTACCACCTGTAACTCCAGCTCCAGAGATTCAACACCCTCTTCCTGCCTCCACAGGCATCAACACACACACACACACACACACACACACACACACACACAATAAAAGAAACAGACAAAGACAGAGGCAGAAAACAAACAGACAAAGACTGAGATGGAGAGAGAGAGAATATTTTTAAATAAATAAAATTTAAATATTTAAGCTATATGGCCAGGTGGGGTGGTAGGGCACACTTTAATCCCAGCACTTGGGAGGCAGAGGCTGGCTGATCTCTGTGAGTTTGAGGCCAACTTGGTCTAAAAGTAAATTTCAAGGTAGTCACGGCTACATAGAGAAACCCTGTCTCAAAAAACCAACAAATAGCCGTGTGGTGGTGGCGCACGCCTTTAATCCCAGCACTCGGGAGGCAGAGGCAGGCGGATTGCTGTGAGTTCGAGGCCGGGCTGGACCGACAGCCTCCAAAACAATACAGAGAAACCCTGTCTCATAAAACCAAAAAATAAAAATAAATAAACCAATGAATAAATGAATAAATATTTAAGTTATATTGATGGGAGATGTCATTCTGTAACTATGTTTCTCTTCTTGTTTGATGAATAAAGCACTGTTGGCCAATAGGGAAGCAAGATAGGTGGGTCTAGGAGATGAGGAGTGTGGGAACAAGAGACCTTGGCCAGAGGCCCACTTCCCCATCAGCCTGGGAGCAGGCAGCTGTAACCGGTAGAAAACGTGTTTACCAAAAAATAATCCTGATGTTTTCGGAAGGGCTCGCCCACAGGAACACCCTGACCTTGACCTTTCCAATGAATGACTAACCGCCTCTTCCTGACCACCCACCACAGCATCTGGTGTCAGGGCATATAACCAGCCAGGGTAAGAATAAAGGTGAGCTTTCTTGGAGCCTTCTTGAGGAGTTTTTCTTGGGGCCTTGTGGAAGCCTTCTAGAAGCTTTCTTGCACCACCAACTGGTCTCTGTGTCATCAATACTGACACCCTCCACACATTCTCAGACAGAGGCTGCGTGAGCGGGCAGGGCAGAGGAAGATTCTGGGAATTGCAGGTCCAGTAAGACCCAATGTAGACAGCAATGGAGTAAGAGACCCAGACCTTTTCTCCGGTAAGATAAGGCCATGTAGAAATACTTAGATTTATAGAAACGGGTTAGTGATTGGGACAGAGCTAGCCTATAAGAAGCCCTAGTCAACGGCCATCAGTTTATAATTAATATAGTGTCTTGTGTGTTATTTGGAGGTTAAAGTGATGGTGGGACCCAGGCGGCTGGTGGGGAAAAGTACATGTAACACTATACCCTCCCAAATTCTAGCCAAATATAGACATGATAGGTAAGTAGAAAATAGTAGATAAAGTTTTTATAAGTGAATCACTGAGCTATTGGATAGCCATATGGGAAAAATAAAATTAGGGCTATGCCTCACACTGGGATCCCCATCCCAAGATAAGCATAGATGAATCAAAGACCTCAATGTAAAAATGAGAACAAAAGGGCCGGAGAGAGAGACTTGGCTCAGTGGCTAAGAGCCCTGGGTGTTCCTCCAGAGGAACAAGGTTTGATTCACCCACAAGAAGGCTCACAACATCTGTAACTCCAGTCCAAGGATCCAACACCCTCTTCTGGCCTCCTCGGGCAACAGACATGTACATGGTGCACAGACATACATGAAGGCAAAAAAAATCCATCTACATGAAGTAAAATAAAATAGAAGTAATCTTTCAAAATTATTGTTTAGAAATGAAGAAAGGACGCACAAATGCTTCATGATGCAAGGGAAGCAAACTCACTCTCAATTGCACCTCATAAGACTCCTTAAAGCAATAAAATACTAGCAAACACACCTCCATAGCATTATAAAAACCTCCTTTAAAAAAAAAGCCGGGCTTTGGTGGCACATGTCTTTAATCCCAGCACTCGGGAGGCAGAGGCAGGCCGATCTCTGTGAGTTCGAGGCCAACCTGGTCTACAGAGCAAGTTCCAGGACAGGCTCCAAAACAATACAGAGAAACCCTGTTTCGAAAAACCAAAAAAAAAAAAAAAAAAAAAAAAAAGAATTTTTAGGAAGAAAACAATTTCAATAACCTCAGAAGTGGGGGGAGATAATTCATGTAAAAAGAAAAGCAAATGAAAATATGCTCACCAATGCTCATAAGAGAATTGCAAATTTAAAGTTTGCTGAGAAACCGTCTATGTTTGAAAGGCAGGAATCCAAACGTTTAGTAATAGACTCTAGAGCTGAGGCGGAGGGAGTGGGGAGGTTGCTGCTCTTCAGATGGGGTGAGAATTCACAACGGTCTAGTCTCAGTGCAAGGGTGACTTTTATGATACCCAGCTACTTCACGTGTGATTTTTCCCTTGGACCCAGGGTGAATAGACTATGGAGATTCCATGCAGTGGGTGCTTCAAAGGGGTACGCATGGGGGCCAGGAAGGTGGCTCAGCAGTTAAGAGCCCTGGCTGCTCTTCCAGAGGACTCAGGTTCCATTCCCAGCACCTACGTGGAGCTCACAATCAGTTCCAGGAGATCTGATTCCCCCTTCTGGCCTTCCTGGGCACCACGAAGGTCGAGCCCACAGGAACCCAGAATTAAAGGGACAAGAGACACAAGGACAGACAGCAAGACAGGCTTTCTGATCAAGCTGCAATTTTTTGTTTCCTCACAAGGATTCTTATAGTGGTTGAAGCAGGAAGCTTGGCAGAGCAGGGAGTTAGGTGGGAGAGGCTATTGCTTTGAAGCAGAGAGCTTGGTCTTGGCAGGATATGTTCCAAGGACACAAGTCTGTGGTGGGGGAGTCTGGACTGCAGGCCTTGAAAGTATGCTGTACAGGAAGATAAGCAGACCAGAGGAATAGAAACTTAACTGTGTTAGTCTCTAAGAATACAGTAGGAAATATAAAGATGGCTTTTTATCATGCTATCCTTATTTTAGGGCCCTCCACAACTGGCAATATTTACAAGAGGTCCTATATACCAATGATCGCTCCCTGAACATAAGTGACACACATGCAGGCAAAATACCCATACACAATACAAATAATAACAACAAATAATAGTAATGATCAACATAGCTCCCAGAGTACACTGGTTAGTGAGAAATAGATCAGAGGAGTAAACACAGCTGTGACCTGCCTCTGCCAGGAAGGAAAAGTCTTAGTTTATGCTCACAAACATAAGCAAAGGAACAGTGGACTAAAACCG